GTGTAAAAGTTTTTTCTTTCAAAATACATTATTGCGAGATTTTTATAGTAAATCATAAATCTATCATGTACGTTTTTAGCAATGTTTTAACATTGCTTTTTAAAGCTCTAATCTGAACTTTTATAAGATTTTTAAGATATATGAAAAAATTGATTATTATAATAAACAATGTGAAAAGAATAATATTAACGATACAAAGATTTTAGCACCAATTTAAACTTATTATTATTTATAAATACGCTTGAGAAAGTGTTTCAACAACAGTGTATATCTGATCGAAATGAGGACGTTTTTCAGGTTCATATTCCCAACATCGTAACATTAAACGGTATATTTCGTCAGGTGTATTTTCTGGTGCTGGCATGCGATAACCTAGAGGTAAGAAATCTTTATTATTTATCTTTTGTTCTATATAAATTTTCTATTCTATTCTATTTAGTTTTAGATTATAATACAATAGAATCTTATATAATGCAAATTTCTATAATGCGTTAAAAATATTGCGATTATTGTTTTCATTATGCGATTCGTACAACGCTTCATATATTGTTTTTTTTTTTTTTTTAATCAATAACATATATATGTCATTCATTTTTAAAAAATTGTTTTGTTTGATAAAAAATAAAACATAAAATATGACATGATAATAATTATTATACAAAGAAAATTCTCGTACAACATTTGTTATAATGTGAATTCATACAATACATTATATATATATATATATACACCTTAATTGCATTATATAGGGGATCTATTGGAATAATAACAATGTGATAAATATTATATATTGTAATTTAAACATTACCTGCATCTATCTTTTCGCGAGCTTGAGAATTAGACATTCCACTGTAAGGATTTCCACCTTTAGAAAATATCTCCCACATTAAGATTCCATAACTCCATACATCACAAAGTGATGTATATTTGCCTATTGAAAATATTATAATAAAAAATAATATTAAAATTCTTAATATATATATTATATGTAACATTTTCTTAAATACCGAAATTTAATGCTTCTGGTGCAGTCCATTTAATTGGAATTTGTTTCATACCATCTGAAACTATATATTCTTCTTCTTCTCGTGACATTCCAAAATCTGATATTTTTACTATAGATTCATATCCTAAAAATATAATATTATTTCTGGTATTCTAATTCACATATTTTGTAAATTATTTTTATAATAATTAAAAATCAAAATATTTTTACCTACGAGACAGTTCCGAGCAGCTAAGTCTCTATGAATACAATATTTAGATTCCAAATAGCGCATACCTGCAGCTGCATCTTTACACATTCGAAGCTGTTCTTGTTGTGTAATAGTATTAGTATTTTTTCTTAAATAAGTTAACAGTGAACCGCCTATTATATATTAATTTAATATTAACAAATAATTATATTCCATAATTTGAAAAGTTTTTAATTCCAAAATTAAAAATTAAAAGTTTTTTATTAAATTTATTAATTTACTCAACATACCGGGAACCAATTCCATAACAATCATAATAGGTTGTTTTTGGACACAAATTCCAATTAGCTTTACTATATTTGGATGATCATATTGTTTTAATATGCGTCCTTCTTGTAAAAATTTACGTTTTTGTTCATCCGGTAGCGTTACTTTACAAGTTTTTACAGCCACCTCAGTCTTACAGGTTTTTAATTGAGCTTTATATACATCTCCAAAGTTACCCTAAAAATACATAATATTTTATAAATATCTAATTTTATACAATTCATGTGTGAATTTTTTGAAATGACAAATTTTAAAAATTTAAAATATTATAATTTATTAAAGTAAGCTAAATTTATATAATTCATTTATGTAATAATTAGATATGCAATATATAATAATAAGATATTTCGAAATGCAAAAAACTAAAATAATTTCTTTTTTTTAAATTTTAATATACCCGTCCTATTTTTTCTAGGAGAATTACATCATCGTTATTAAGTTCCCAACGTTCACGTAAAATTGGTGTTTTGAGAATAGCTCCAGATCGACTGGTAACTGGTAATCCAGATAACCATTGATGTCTGATTAACTCTTGAATTGATGGAAACGTAGGACCTTCAAATCTGTAATGTCCCTAAAATTAATAAAAATACATACAAATACATTTGTTTCTGTATCCTCTATATAGAAATATAGTATCAAATTAAATAATTGCTTACTTCAGGAGTAGTTTGAACTATAAAATGCTTGTGTCCATCCCAACAGACAGATAAAACTATTTGGCACTCATCGTTTCTTGTTGTTTCGCGTACTAAAAAGTCTCCTTCGGTGACGAGTAATCTTACAACTTCTTCTCTCGGTAGCACACCATGAAACCATTCTTCTTCCATAAGACCTCCATTTCCATTTCCCTTTTGATTAGTTGTTAAATGTGAAATCCGAAAAGATGCCTATAACAATAATATATAATACTGTATCTAACAAACAAATATTCATCACCTAGAATCATCACACCTAGTACAAAATTTCTCTTTCTACCTATCATTACCTGTAATTATTATTGCTAATTGCATCACAAATGTTAGTTTTAAAAACAATTGAATGTAATTTATAAACAGGATAAACATGCTTAATATTAAAAATCAAAAATAAAATTGTTATCAATTCAATTTGATAAACTTTTTATGACACACATTCTTTCATAAGCATTTGATATATATGATAAGAAAGAAGCAATTATGCATAAAACATATTTATATCTTTACAATAAACGGGTAACATATAAAAAAAACATACAACTGGTAGAGTATTATCTGCTTTTGGAGTAGGACCTTCACTACTCGATCTAATTGTTCCATCTTTTGTGTCGTTTATTATTGGTAAAGATTTGAAGGGAGATCTAAATATTGTCATGAATCGTTGATTTCTTCGTAATGTAAACAGACCAATATCTGCAACTGTATTTTTCTGCAAGGGCAGTGATGCTAACTAATATCAATCATAATATCAATCAAATAGAGTTGCTTTATATCGAAAAACTATTTGAAATACAATAATTTTCTTAACAAGGTAATTATAGAACATTTATAGAAATATTCAATTTGTATATAATTTTAATTACCTTGCTAATAGAAGGTGAGTCAGCAAAAGAACTTTCCATTGAGAGATCATAACCAAGTGGTAATTCTTCACAACCTAATTCATTCAAAGCAGCTCTAATAACATCCACTTGTCGTTGAAGTTTTTTTTCTTGACAACGTAATCGTAACTCTTCTCTTTCGCGGGAATAATCCAAAATCGATATTCTAATAAGAAAATAAGAAAAAGAAAAAATATATATTTTAATATTATCAATATTAATAAAAATATAATAATTATTTTTAAATAAAATATTCTTACTTAGAATCGCTATTATTTTCCGATGGATATTGTGGATTTTGTCGGCTTTGTTGAGTCGCTTTTAATGAATTTTCTAATTCTGTTAATCGATTTCTTAACCAATCTATAGTTAAATTATCTACTGTTAATTTATTTGGTAATAATTTTCCCGATGTATCATCCACAAGATTCTCATCGAAAATAAATCTTATTGGAGATGCAGGTCGCGTTCTATAACAAATGTTAACAAATTTTTAATTTGAAAAATTACATTGATAAAAGTAAATTTGAAATGAATACCTGTGTTTTCCTATAAAATCCCTATATTCTTCTACAGGTTTTACACAATCTACAGCTTTTTGCATTCGCCGATGTATTTCTTGAAATTTATCTGTTGTAAAATCAGAATATTTCACTATATCCTGAAGTATGGTTTTCCTATCATGCAAAGAACAATGTTTTTATATTTGTGATATAATGGATATTGTTATTATAACAATCATTAATGTTTACCTTTTCTATTACCATATGTTTGCATGAAAGTTTCATGTAAAATAAATAAGTATTTCATAGAATACAACAAAGAAATACATTACAAAATTTTTCAGAATTTAGAATCAACAAAATGCTTACCATGATGTTATAAATTCTTGATGAATTGCCTGTTGTCGATGAAGTAAGCTTGGTAAGTAACAAGTTCTTAAGTCATGTTCACACTCTGTCACAGCACCCAAAAGTAATACATATTCATTGTGGGTAAGATGAAGTTTTCTACAAGCTTTTTGATATTTTTCTCTTACTTCATCCAATTTTCTACCAACTCTACCCGCTAAACATATATCATAGATAATAACAATTAATTGTAAATTAATTATAAAATATAAATACTTACATTTGACATAATGTTCTTCAAAACGGGATCTCATCAATTTATACATTTCTAGATTTTTCTGATACTCTAATTTTTTCCTGGCAACATCATCAGTTAACTAGAAGATACAATAAATGTGTAATATGTAATATAAAATTTAATACTTTTATTATTTATTTATACCTGTTGAAATTGATTGTTTAACCATGTTTGTTCTTCTTGATATATTTTTCTAGCTCGTCTTCTTTCAGAATGTAATGTTGTAATATGTTCAACTACTATAGCTTCAATAGAGTCTGCTTGTTGTTTGATTAATTTTGCTGTTTGATCAATAGAATCCATGATATCCTTCCAACTCTACAATATAATACTATGTAAGCAAATGTTTCTGAGAAATTATTATACACATTTAAGAAAAATTATAAATATTCATTTCAATTTTGAACACATACTTGTGCTATTAGACTACCAACAAGATCCTCATTACGTTCAATCTTCTTCCCTTGCATCGTCAAGGAACAGATCGTTGAAGCATATTCACGATCTGATTTAACTTTAATCGTTAAACATCGTCTCATTGTTTCCAGAAGTTTAATTTCAGCATCTTGACGGGCGAGTAACGCCTCATGTGATGACTGTCCTTGTAAACTCGTAGAAAAACCCATCCCGCTTATCGTATATAAAACTAAAAATCGTCGTCTTACCGACTTCTTTAGACGTGTCACGAACAAAAATTCATTCTTATGCTAGACAAATGTAGTGACATTAATGTTAGCAAAGAATCTAATGAACCTCAATGAATCATTCATCGAAATATTACATTGCAAACACAGATTTATGTATACATTATTTAATCAGATTATTATATATCTCTACTACAGCTCACTTGGCTGAGATCAACACTTATATTTATACAGACCTCAAAGTGCAAAAATTTACTTTTATTCCAGAAATACCGTCATGAAACAACAAATAAAATAGATGATCAATTCAACTTTGATAAAAATAGAAACCAATGTATAAAATCAATAATACATTAAAAATATGAACTAATAACTTGTTTTTTCTTTTTTGAAATTAAATGAAAAAAATTTATTTTATTTTTTTTATTTCAGTATATAACTTTATTAATTAAAAATTTTTTTAAATTATTAATATTGTAATTTTCTAATCAATATCGCACTGTTAATCTATAAAGTTTAATATCAATGCTTAAAATAGTTAAAGGTTCATTTTTATGAAAATTTTCGAGATTTAAATAAGTATCTTATTACTATATAGTCAATTGCATACGAATATTCGTAAGAGAAAGATCACTTACTGTAGTTTATTGTAATATTAATACGCAACAAAATGGGTGGTAAAATGCAAGGTCTTACAAAAGAATCTCTGAAAAAAAATTCTATGGTATGTGAAAAAACAGCATTGTGAAAAAAAAGTCATAATCATGATAAAATTATTATTGATTTTTCTTTAGTTATTGCCATTATTCTTCTGCATCGGATTTGGAGCATTCGCTGCTACTGGTTATTTATTACGCCTTGCTTTGCGAAGTCCTGATGTTACGTGGAATAGTAGACGCAATCCTGAACCATGGAATGAATATAAAGATAAAGATTATAAGGTATGTTGAACATATAACGAGAATGATAGAAATAATATAATTAAAAAATAATGTTTCAATTTTAATATCAAATAAAATAATAATTGACTAACAACAATTTTAAATAATTAATAATCTAAAATTTATATAATTATTCAATTTTTTTCATTTTTATTTTCAGTTTATTAGTGTTCATGATACAACTAACTTCAGAGCAAAACCTCCACAATATTAAAAGTATATATTTTGTAAACTAGTCTTAATTAAAGAAAATTATGTAGAAATCAAATTAATTTATACTTTATATTATATTTAAATTAGATTTGTTGTCAATGTTATTAAAATATTTTACAAAACTTGTATTATAAAAATTTAAATAATATTTAAGAAATAAAAATTAAATAATAAAGTTTATATTCTTTATTTTATGATTTATATTATAGAAATGAATAAATTAATATATATTAATTTTATTTCCTATGTCGTAATATATATATATATATATATATGTATGTATGTATATATATATATAAATTCATTCTATATATATTTCCAGCTAAAGTATTTTTATATTATATTTATATTTTATAATCAATTATATATGTTATTATATGCATATTATGCGACCAATTACACAAAAATAGTCATCAAAATAAAATTTAGGTTATGAATAATCACGATGTTTGAAATACTAACGTAACAAAACATTTTTATCGATTGCATGTGTATTAAATTACCAAATGTATCGCAAGAGAGCGCGTACATCAATCACAATTTAGTTAAGATTTTTATTCCTTATAAATAATGAAATTTATTGAAATATAATTATATTATTTGAATATAATATATATATAAAATATCGTTAGATTAGATATTTCTAAAATTTGAGTTTTTCTTTAACATTTGCATATGCAAAATAATATTTTATTGCTTAAAATAAATATGTATTTATGATAATTTTTTCTGAAAATAAATTAATTTATTTCTAAAAGTGATGTCACGTCCGAAACGGATAAGTTTACACTAATTAGTAAGATAAGTAAGATTAAAGGATTACAGAATTTTAGAGCATTTTACAGCATTTTATTAATAATAAGTGGAACGTAATTTAATAAGAGATATAATATACTATATTTTTATCATTTATTTTAAAATTTATATGTGCAATTAATTGTGTAAATTTTGAAATTTTAATTAAAATATTTTTATTGATATAATTTTTTAATTGAAACATTTAAGACTTTTTTTTGAAATCCTTATTACATATATAATATGGATACAACTTGGGAAGATTTTTATGCTATCCATCCACCACCTCAAGATTTTGATCAGAGTGAAAAATTATTAAAAGCATTTGTACAACGACAATTGAAAAAAAATAATATGGTTGTATTAATAACAGTGAGTGTTCACAAAATGTTATATATTAAGTTATTATTACTTAAAATTATATATAAAAATATATAAATGTAATATAATACATATAAAAAAATATATAATATATATAATATAATTTTATAGAGTGGTGGGACAACAATACCTCTAGAATGTAATACAGTAAGATTCGTAGATAATTTTAGTGCAGGAACAAGAGGATCTGTATCTGCAGAATACTTTCTAGAAAAGGGATATTGTGTAATTTTTGTGTATAGGTACTTTATACCAATAAATATTTATGAACACGTGTATATTTTAAGTTAATATCTATATATAATTTATCCATTTGTAGAGCTAATTCCTTGGAACCATTTTCGAGACATTTTAAGGGACAGAAAATTTTAGATATGATAGAAGTCAATAAACAAAATGAAAAATGTATAGTTACAGGTATATATTTCTTTTATTACAATCACTTAATATTTGAAATGATAATAATATGATTGTTTTTAGTTTTACCACAATATACAGAAAATTTGGTAAAAATGTTTTATAAATACAAAGAATCTTTAAATCAAGATAAATTATTACAAATCACTTTCACTACTCTTTCTGAGTATCTTTGGCTTCTTCGGTCTGCTTGTCAAGCATTAGCGCCTCTTAAAAATAAAGCAATTTTATATCTTGCAGCTGCAGTTTCTGATTTTTATATTCCATCTAATGAATTGGTATATATTTTTTAAATTTTCTATCAAGAATAAATATAAACATTGATATACACATATATAATGATTTTTTCAGGCAGTTCATAAAATTCCTTCTACTGGACCACCAACAATATCTCTTCAATTAGTACCAAAACTGTTAGCTCCTCTTGTAAGTTTATGGGTTCCAGAGGCTTTTGTAGTATCTTTTAAATTAGAAACTGATGACAATCTTCTAATTTCAAAAGCAAGAAATGCACTAAATAAATATAAACACAATGTAAGTAATATTAATAAAATATTAATATTATTTAATTATAAAAAAAAACTTAAAATTATTTTTTTTACGCATTGAAACATTTTTCTGCAGTTAGTTATAGCCAATGTATTGCATACTCGAAAACAGAAAGTAGTAATTGTTAGTCAAGAGGACATGTATATTATTTCTCTTACTAATGAACAATTAAATAAAGGTGAAGAAATTGAGCAATCGATTGTTAATAATCTCATTGAAAAACATCAAATTTTTATACAATCTACTGTGACATCTACTGAACAATGTGAGTGTTGACGAACATTTTGCTTAATATTAAATTAATAAAATGCATTTTAATGTATTGAATGAATATTAAATACAACATTGAATAAATATTAAACGATTGTATTTTATTTTTTTTTATCGTTAATTAATAATTTAATTATTATATATTATAATCTATATAAATTATAGATTAATATATGTTGTCATATTATGAAATTTTAGATAAATTAGAAAGTATTAACTCTATTATATTTTTTATATATTATTTACATCTTAAAATAAATATAAATTAAATTTACATACATATTTAAGAATCTTTGTTGTCATATTTTTCATGATATTCTATTATTTTATATCAGTTTGGATATTTAATTTTGGAATGTATATATAATATTTCGTTTAAGTAACTGATAATCTAAAGCTAGATGAAAATAATGGAATATTAATTTTTGAGACTTGTTATATGCATATTGATTTTATCAATCAATTGCCTATCTGTTGTTTCACATTGTGCTAATAAAAAAGTTAATGCTGTAACATCTTTTTGTTCTACTGCTGTTTGAACTGCCTCGTTTATCATTCTGCAAAAATATTTTTTATTTTATTATATTTTTTATGATTTCATAATAATTAAATATAATAAAAATAATATCATGTTAACAATTATTTGTTAAATTACATGTTACTTACTTTAATTTAACCAAATATTTTACTTTCAATTCATTTTTTACTTTAGATAAATATTTTTTCGCTTCTCTTTCTTTATTATATTTTAAGCACTCATCAATAAAAGGCTAAAATAAACGAGAAAAAGAAATAACACATTTATTGATAATAATAAATAAAATATATTTAATATTATACGAACCTCATAACCAATAGGTGATTTTTTACTTTTAGAAAATTTTTCTAATTCATTCCATGCACCTTGTTCTGCCAAACACTGTATTCGTAGCCACCAATATCTAAAAGAAACTTTTTTATACTATTCATATAGATAATGATGTCAAAAGAAAATATTAGAATAACCAAAATTTAAAATATACAAAATATGCAAAATACATCATACCTTCGATCTGATATTCGATATTCTGATTTCAATTTGTCAGCTAACTTTAACTCATTGCGCAATAATAATATTTTTACAGTATCATGAAGTGGTTTTCCTACAATTATTTCTTGTAATGTGTCTTCCATAGACCTTTGATAGCGTAACAATTTTATTTGCTCTTCTGTCAAAGCGGCATTAGTATCGTTACGAGCTAATTTAAAATTTTCCTGTGCAGATTGTAATAATGCTTCTCTCGATGTTACATTCTAAGAAATATTATGAAATAATAAAATAGTTATACGTGTTATTAATGATTGATTATATTAATTGTCGCAAACCTTCCGCTGATAACTCTCGGTAATAAACCATATTGCTTGAGAATGAAAGTCATCGTATTGATTATAAATATCGCGAAGTGTTTCTCGGTTGTGATTTTGACAATATTTAATATATAAAGCCATTGCTAAAGGACAATGCATTATCGACATCTGAAGAAAATTAATGAAAAAAATATTAAGCATCTCTTAAATTAATCAAAATCAATAAAATTATACCTGAAAATCACCGAGAGGCATATTTTCTCTGAGATGAAGTATTACAGTATAAACTAAATCAGTATTTCCACTTTCAACTGCTTTACGTAAAGCAGCTTTTTCCTCACCAAGCGTTAGTAAAAGTGGTACTTGTTGTTGTGCACGTGGTTCATAATCTATTAGCTAAAAAGATACAAATAAATAAAGAACAATTTAGATTAGTTATTTAACAATAACAGTCTACCTTAATTGCTAATTGTTTTCGACCACAGTCTGCTGCTCTTCTTGCAATTTCGCTATAAGAAACACCAGGTGCGTAGCCTAACTTATCAGCTATTTCTTCTGCTATTTGTTCTTTATCTAGTTGTGTTTGTTTTACCTATTATAAAAAAATAATAAATAAATAGATATTTATTATAAAATTTACATTCATATAAATATCGTTCAAGTAAACATAACAACAAATATTACTTTATAGCAAGCCCAATGAGCTAATATTCGACTTTCCCCTTCAATTTCTGGTAATTGAAGATGTCGTGCAATTTGTATACTTAGATAATAATGTCGCCTAGCAACAAGTCTATCTAACAATACTTGGCTCGTGAGAACAGTGAATCTATCGTTATTAAGGTATTTTTTTATCATAGGAAATGATAAAATTGAAAAAAATATGAAATGATTGAATTGTTGAATAATTATTAAATATTATTCGTTAAATAAAAGGATACTGTGTGTACGTTAGTGGAATTCCAATGGCAGGATGTCTCACAGCATTTAAAACTCTTAAAGTTCGACACATATTAACATAATATTCAGGATCAATTGTTTTACTAAATCCTTTTCCAAATTTTGCAGCCTTATTAATAATAAAATGTTATGAATTATTAATAATAATAATAAAAAACGAAAAAATATAAATAACACTCAATGAATGAAGTTTACCTTCATTAAAAGCTTTTGCGTTTCAAAATCAAATTCATGACTAGCTCCATCAATACAAGCTTTTATTGCTGCATCCAATTTATCTTTAACTAAATCCATATAACCATCAGCTTTGTGACTTCTTCTTTGAAATTGTTTAGAAGCTTCTAATAAATAAGATGCAGGATCAGTTGAATTAATTTGAAATATTTTTTGTACAACATTCGGTACTTTTTGTATCATTTCATGAGAAGAACCAGATAATACGCGAACACCATCAATTTCTGTAATAAGATGAACTGGACCATCATATGTATATGTTATAGTTTCGGCTGTTCGTCCAATTACCATTACAGTACTATTCCAACTACATATTACAGCTTCTGTTCCACACCTAAAAGTTTATTTATGAAAGTTATTAAATCAATTATCATAATATTATAGAAAAATTATTATGCAAATATATTAACCATGCTATGTTTTCTAATGATTCTTTCATATTTGTATAATGCTCACAATATTTTTCACTAAAATCTATAGAACCCATATATAAATGACCCGTGTCTGTATAAAGAGCAATATGACGATTGTTTCCAGATACAGCCATTGCAATTACACTGTTTACTTTATTGTATCTGGTAAAAAGATTGTCCTAAAAACATAAAAATCTTTTAAAGATTATAAACATATTTTGGTTTATATTTCAATATTGAGAGCATTTATATTATACAAATGGTATATGTGTTGCAGTTTGATAAGATTGATGTATCACAAATATTCCATCTCTATTTGATAAAATTACACGTGTTTCTCTGTCGCAATGGACTAAATGCCAACATTCAATTTGTCCTCCATATCCTGAAGATAAAAAAAAATATAATGATAATAAAAATTTAATCCTTAATTCAAAAATATTGAATAAAATTTATTTACTTACTAGGAATTTCTGATATTTGTCTAACTTTTGGTTCAGCTATATTATTTACTAGAAATATACGATTGGTAGATGTTAAAACTGCAATACCAGTTCCACTATAACTGACAAAAAATTTTGCTTCGACAACTTTAGTATCTTTTACCTCCTAATTAGAAGTATCATGATTATAATATTTTATATAAATAATTCTTAATTTTTAATCAAACAGAAAATATCATACATTTCCCATACTAAAAGCATGTAGATATGTACCAAACATATCATATATATGAATCATGCCATCATCTTCTACACATAATAATTCTTCTTGTTGAGACCAACCCAAAAGGATTAATTGAGCACCACTCCACTAACAAAAGCAATGAAAATAGAAAAAAATAAATATAAAAAAAAACTATAAAATATAAATATAATTATTAATTGAAAAATATAATTTTTGAAATTTTTACTTGCAATTTGGCTGTTAATTTTCCAGAAGAAGTGTACAAATATATCATAGGTTTATTTGCTCCTTGTACTTTAACTAATTTTTTAGAATTTCTAGTGACTGCAATAGAACCTCCATAAGGAGCTGCCACCAGCATATTATTATTTGAAACTTCATGTTGAAAAGATAATGGATACAATTCAAATTTTCTAGAAAAAGATTATTTTTTATTTTTTTTATATATAAATTTATGTCAGAATATAATAACCTCACATTTTATTACCTAAAATACACATCTCGACCCAAGGGAAAACAATCGGCAGTTAACATTAATAACATTTTTACCGAAATGAAAAATCAAACGTTATTTTAATCAAATATTATTTCATGACTGTGATTTTATAAACATATGATATAATATTAACTACGTTTTAAATCTATTTAAAGTATTATTGAATTGTTTCGTATCAAACACAAATATATGATGGCGAAGATTCCACATGAAGTACTGTACATATAAAAAATGAAAAATCATTTTATCACTTTTATACTTTTAACAATAAAAAAGTAACGTTAAAATGATTTACATTCATATTACGTATAAAATGGTTTTTTTTAAATCTCGTAATTAACAAAATAATAAATATAACCTTTCGATCGAAATCTATTCTTTTACTGTATTAGAATTGATTGGCGCAATAAAGAACTTATAAGAAATGTGATTACAATAGTAAGGAATTATTGTTGAAATATATATATACTATATCATTTATTATATTTGAATTCAAGATGCATAAGAATTCGTATCACGTTAAATCAAGCAAAAATATATCTAAAAAAATAAAATAAATATAGAAAATATAGAATTATAGAAAATTACTGAATAATTTTGATAAAAATTAAGAATAAATAATCCTGTTTAAGAAAAATATTTGATTTTAAATTCCAAAAAATAAAATGAAATAGAAAAAAGTATAAAAATTTAAGTGAACTGGCCTATTATCTGGAAATACCAGATAAACATAGTAGCAGTGAAAGGTTCTCTGATAAAACATTCTTACATTCATTCAATTACGTTTCGCATTCTTTTCTTAAACTGCCTGTACTACATATATACATATATGTATACATGATATACAAAGGCATGTTTCGTATACCGTTCATTCGATTCTTTACCGTTTCCCCTACCTGGGAGAATCTCACTGTAAGTTGAGGTATCTCGAACGTAGGTAACCCCGTTAAGTCTCCATCT